GGAACAGACAGCATCATTTCCAAGCCCATAAAGAGTCTAGGTTGTGTAAGACATGTAAACACCACTGCTGTAAGTTTTACAAAGGTGCTCCACAGGTAAACAGCATGGCCAGGAGGAAAGAGGGGTGAATTTATGGGCTTCCTAAAAGTGGACAGGTTTCCTCAAGGGACATGAGAGAACACATTCTTTGGCGCCTCCCTCTCCCCCACCCAAAAGAAAAACTTTCAAGGCCAATCCAAAGCCCAGAAAACAGAAGATATTTCCAAGGGCTGGAGGAGGGAATAAACAAAGACACTGAAGTACTGTATTGGTCCATGCTGGGTCTTTGGGGGTCCCAATTATTACCTTTATGGGGGAACTTGTTTTTCCCAGGGATTCTCTTCCAGCATTTTGAAAATTGAGCCCATACCCTGCTTGGCCCAATTTCCGAAGCCCATCCCATTAGTTTTTATCTTTTTTCAAGAGTTCAATAATTTACTCTGCTGCAAATCAATTCAATGGTTTACTGCCAGCGGACAGAATGGTTTCCAAAATTTTGCCAGAAAAGAGTATCATAAAGGTGGCCTTGCTTACTCTATAGATTTGCCTCCAGGCTTCTTGATGGAAGACGTTTCCCACACCAGACTTTCTCAAAGGAGGGATCGCCTCTGGAGACCACAGTTTGATACGGGGGGATTGGCCTTTCCTTTAATCACATCCAAAGGTCATGGTGGCTCCAAGGCCGCTCAGGCTGTGAAGGGAGAAAACAAATTTCAATCAAGGTATAAACGTCAACTCACGTAGGCCACCTCTACAAGAACAGATTACTCCAGGACTTTCACGGTATCACTCTGCATTAAAAAGGGCAACTCTATTAAAATCAAAGGGGCATTTCAGGTTCCTCTAGCCCTCGCAAATGCTTACTGAAAGGTAGATTTAAGTTCTTAATTAACACTCTACTTCATGACAGAAGTCTGAACCCCCTCTGCATCGCTGCTGTCCTTGTTAGGGTCAAGGATATCTAAATGGCACCAAGATCCAACAGTAACACCTCCCAATTTGGACTAAGGCCTTTACCATTTATAAAAGGGACTTTGCAGCCTAATCACCTCATGGACTCAATGGGCATAGCTGAAATTATTGCCAATTTATAAGTGTAAAGCTTAGGTCAAATGCGGGGAGGTGTTACTGTGGGATCTTGGTGCCAATTTAGATTATCCTTACCCTAACGAAGGGACACAGATGCAGAGGGGTTCAGACTTCTGGGGCTCGATGTGAAGTAGAGTGGATTAATTGTTAGAACTTAATCTACCTTCATAACATTGCAGGCCCTTAGAGGAACCTTGATGCCCTTTTGATTTTAATAAGCTTGCCCTTTTATCAGAGTGATTGTGTGAACTTGAAAATCCTGGAGTATCTGCCTTCTGGAGGATGTGGCGCCTACGGTGGGAGTTTGACGTTTTATATCCTATGGATTGAAATTTGTTTCTCTCTCACAGCTGGAGCGGGCCTTGGACACCAATGAACTTTGGATGGTGATTAAAGGAAAGCCCAATCGCGGTATCATGGGTGGTCTACAGGTAGGGATCCCTCTGTTGGGAGAAAGCTCTGGGTGGGTGGGGAACGGTCTTCATCAAGAACCTGGCACAAACTCTATAGATAAACAAGGCACTTTATGATACTTTTTCTGCTTTTGGAAACATTCTGTCCTGTAAGGTAAACATTGAATGATTTCAGCAGAGTAATTATTGAATCTTGAAAACAAGATAAATACTAATGGGAAACTGCCTTGGAATTGGGCAACAGGGTATGCTAATTTTCAAAATGCTGGAAGTAGAATCCTGGAAGTTCCCATAGGTAATAATTGGGACCCCAACCCAGCATGACCAATAAGTACTTTCATGTCTTTGTTTATTCCTCCCTCAGCTTGAAATATCTTTCTGTTTTCTGGCTTTGGATGGCCTTGAAAGTTTTTCTTTTGGGTGGGGGAGAGGAGAGGCCCAAAGAAGTGTCTCCAGTCTTGAGGAAACCTGTCACTTTAGAAGCATAAATTCACCCTCTTTCTCTGCATCTGTTTATGTGGAGCACTTTGTAAAACTTACACAGTGGTGGTTTACATGTCTTACACACTAGACTTTTATGGGCTTGGAAAATGATCTGTCTTTCTGCAGCACCGGTTTGTACCCAGATCTCTTAAAGGTTTTTTAATACAAATAAATAAGAAAACATTTGGAATAGGAGCAACTTAATAGTGGCTATTATTTGTGAATGGAGCATGTACCAGGTGCCTGGTGCTGTGCCAAGTGTAAGAAAAGCCATACCTGGAACAGTTGGTTGCCTTTGGCAATGGATGGGTTGGAGGCTTCTTAGACAGGGGAGACCCTGAGGTTCTCAACATCTCTGGAGTTGACCAGTGGTGCTAAAGTGGTCTGCTTTGTCTTTGACAGGTGGTGTGTGATGAGAACGGCTCTAAGGGTTATGCTTTTGTCCACTTCGAAACCCAAGAGGCTGCCGACAAGGCCATCGAGAAGATGAATGGCATGCTCCTCAATGACCGCAAAGTGTGAGTGTCCCAGTCCGGAGCAACAACCATCGCATGAGCCAGCTGTGGCCCCACCTGGTATTAACTGGCACACACAAGGCGGCTACTGGTTCTCTCGGCCCAAGTGTGGCCTGCTCCTACCTCTCCACTCCAGGGCTGGTGAGTCTCCCTGCCCGAGCTGTGGCAGCCCTTTTGACTCGCCAAGGTGGGCTTCCTGCCCAAGCCATGGCCTGCCTGCCGCCTCTCCCTCAAAGGCATTCGTCAATGGGTTTTGTGAACATCGGCAACTAGGGCTGGCTGGAAGGCAGCTCTAAGCCCACTCTGAGCGGGGGTCTTGGCCAGTGGCAGAGTGGAGAGGGCCCTGGACTGACCAGGAGCTGCATACTAGCTATGCAACCTTGGCCTTCCTGTGACTCGGGTCTGTCCATGGGTCTTGCTAGTTAATGCCAAATTGTCCCTCTAGTTCTCCATTATGACTCAGTGATCTAATACAAGGCTGGCTCCACAGTAATACTTAATTTGGTTACAATGAAAAATCTCATCCTTTGCAGAGACATTTCATAACAGACTTTTGTTTTGTTTTAGTTGTTACTGTAGAATGGAGAAGAGGGGTAACTTAGCAAAGCCATATGGGAAGGAAAAGGAGCAATAAGTCTTGGCTATTACAAACAAAAATAATTTTTGTCCTTTGTGTGTGTGTGTTTTTTTGTTTGTTTTTGAGACAAGAGTCTCACTCTGTTGCTCGGGCTAGAGTGCCGTGGCATCAGCCTAGCTCACAGCAACCTCAATCTCCTGGGCTCAAGCAATCTTCTGCCTCAGCCTCCCGAGCAGCTGGGACTACAGGCATGCGCCACCATGCCCGGCTAATTTTTTCTATATATTTTTAGGTGGCCAATTAATTTCTTTGTATTTTTAGTAGAGACAGGGTCTCACTCTTGCTCAGACCGTTTTTGAACTCTAGACCTTGACTGACCCTCCCACCTCGGCCTCCCAGAGTGCTAGGATTACAGGCGTGAGCCACTGCGGCAGGCCTGTCCTTTGTGTTGTTGAACAGACCAGAGGATAGGTTGTGTTTATAATGTCCATGTGGCCAGTGATTGATCTATAGGTATCACTGGAAAGAAATATGAAAATTTTCAGTGTGTGGATACATTTTCCTATTAAGTATAACAGTACCAAAGTGAATAAATAAAAAATAAAAAACAAAGGATGCCTCTCCAATGATCTCACTCCTCGTAGGATTAACCACTGTTAACAGTTTGATTTGTATTCTTCCAGACCTTTTCTGTGCATTTACATAGTTGCACAGAAATGAATGTTTTAAAAACATGGTCATCAGGTTTCTTCATGAAGGCAATGTGGTGTGGTAGGAGTAGCCCTGGTCTGAGCCAGGAGTCCTGGGCTTGCTTCTTACAGGATAGTCCTGCCTCTTTTCTGCTGGCGATTTGGGGCATTTCTGAGCTTACTCTTTCAGTGGTGGATGGGGACCTCATGTGTTTTAACTTCTCCTGTCAGCCTTTAACCTGTATTCCTTTGGGCCCCAGGAAATCAGGTTTTATTTCTCTAGTGATCATTGTTATTTGTGGTTTCTTTTTAGGTTTGTGGGCAGATTCAAGTCTCGCAAAGAGCGGGAAGCTGAGCTTGGAGCCAAAGCCAAGGAATTTACCAATGTGTATATCAAGAACTTTGGGGAAGAGGTGGATGATGAGAGTCTGAAAGAGCTATTCAGCCAGTTTGGTAAGACACTAAGTGTCAAGGTGATGAGAGATCCCAGTGGGAAATCCAAAGGCTTTGGCTTTGTCAGTTACGAAAAACACGAGGATGCCAATAAGGTGAGAGTACCACAAGGGTCAGGAAAACCTTTGTAGGAGGTGGCCCCAGAGTATGGGCAGGGCCTTGCTAGAACACCGTAGAGCAGAGCTGGAAGGACCTGAGTATCTAGTAGTGGATGTACAGTTACTGTACTCTGGAATCCTCTTCCTGAGGAGCTTGCACATGTTAATATATCGTTTAATTGTTTACAAAGCACTTGGCACATAGCTGTTACCTCAGCTGCCAGCTTTTGAAAGAATAGGACATGAATAAGATGTTTTTTTCCCCTTCAAAGGTGAGGAGGGGGGGGACTAAAGCCCTGAGAGTTGCTGATTGGTTAACATCATAGCAGCTATTTATGGGCAAAGGATTGTGCTGGGCCTTCAGCATTTGTAAATACCTACAAAAGAACCTGTGAAATTTATTGACAGTCAGATTACAACCTAGGCTCACGTCACCATGCTTGTCTTTATGCAACTGTACTGTTTTTCCTATATTATCTGGACTAATAACCTATTTAAATATTAACCACACTTTACAGGTAAGGAAGGTTGGATTTGTTTAGCAGGCTTCAGAAGTGGAATGAAGTTAGTTTTTAGCCCTATAGGAAAGATTTCTTTCTCAGTATTTGGTGGGACTTATCTCCTAAAAAAGACCCCTGTCTCTGCAACTTGATTTTAAAGACATATATTTCCTCTCTAGGCTGTGGAAGAGATGAATGGAAAAGAAATCAGTGGTAAAGTCATATTTGTAGGCCGTGCTCAGAAGAAAGTGGAACGGCAGGCAGAGTTAAAACGGAAATTTGAGCAGCTGAAACAGGAGAGAATTAGTCGATATCAGGTAAGATGGTCTTGGCCCAGCCTCCCAACGGGATTTGCTATGAAATATTTGCAAAGCACCCTTACGTTTAGCAGGCTTTCTCTTCAGTGACTTGGAGTCTGCTCTTCCTCTCATTTTCCCCAAGATCAGGTTTAAAAAGATATACACCTACCAGATATGGCAGCAATTATAGAACCAGGGGCAAAAGAGATGAATTTTTTCATTGAGGGGCTTGCTGTTCTGGAAGCTTCAGCCTGTTGCTCCTTAGCCATGTAGGTTCTTTTTACTTACATGATGTCCCTTTGTTTGGCATGATGGCAAGAAGAACCCTGCTGGAGTGAATGGTGGGCCAGAGCAGCTGTGGGAGGTGGGGAGATAACATGGGACTGCACTGATGGTCCCCTCAGTTTCAGGGCAGTGGTTTCTCACCCTTGGGCTTGCATCAGAATCATCAGCAGAGCTTGTTAAAAATATGGCTGGACTGCAGCCCACAGTTTCTGATTCATTAGGTTTGGAGTCCGGCCTGAAAATTCATTTCTAACAAGTTCCCAAAGATGCTAGCACTCCTGGTCTGGAGACCACACTTTGGGAACCATTGTCTTAGGGAACATGTGTGGTATAGAAGTACAATTAACAGTGATCCTTCTCCTTCAGGGGGTGAATCTCTACATTAAGAACTTGGATGACACTATTGATGATGAGAAATTAAGGAAAGAGTTTTCTCCTTTTGGATCAATCACCAGTGCTAAGGTGATGCTGGAAGATGGAAGAAGCAAAGGGTTTGGCTTCGTCTGCTTCTCATCTCCTGAAGAGGCAACCAAAGCAGTCACTGAGATGAATGGACGCATCGTGGGCTCCAAGCCACTGTATGTTGCCCTGGCCCAGAGGAAGGAAGAGAGAAAGGCTCACCTGACCAACCAATATATGCAGCGGGTGGCTGGAATGAGAGCACTCCCTGCCAATGCCATCTTAAATCAGTTCCAGCCTGCAGCTGGTGGCTACTTTGTGCCAGCAGTCCCACAGGCTCAAGGAAGACCTCC